AATCCCAAACCCGCTTTGCTACGAGGTGGCCAAACGTAAGTCCAGCCAGCGACGCGATTTGTAAAGTAATTGACCGAACATTGCAGTGCAGGAGGCCTACGTCTATAAACATTTGCATATACACACCTCAACATACAGTATACATATATACATACACGATCTACACCGTGAATCCTTCCTAGATAGATTGATAACATTACGCAATTATTACCCACACGACCATATAAAAGGGAGTACTATTCCTAATTTTCCAACGTCGCACTGGAGAAAGGATAATACCTCACTGAGGCCCGTACACAAAACATTAAACTCTGACAACCACTCTTTGCTTCTGTGGGAATAATGCAAAGACGTCTCGCTCTGAGCAGCACTGGAATATCTCAACACAATCCACGGTGAGGGTGGCCACTTGAACTCCGTTGTGAGCGGCGCGATATTCTTATCATTATTCTCGTGACTTATTATCGCCGGCAGTCACTGGTATCGAACCTGAACTTTCTGAACTCGCTGGCTCAATGGGCGGTCGCCAGGCGCTCGTGAGCTATCGCCTCTCCAGGCCGCCGTGGCCATCACGAGGGTGATTCATCACCACCTCGCTCAAGCGCCGCTCCGGGACAATGATGATATCGTCCTCATAAAGTTGCTCATAGGACTGTCGAGACACAGGGTAGAGGAGTAAATGATTATTATTATTAGTGATAGGCGTATTTTGTAATCTAGTGGTAGTGCCTTACGTCGACATCACGACTTCAAGCCAGCTGAGCAGCGTCCCGGAAAATATACGAGTCAAAAATTTAGATCTGGTTACATTGCTAACGTTAGGCTTAAGTAAACATGCAGAGATGTTTAATATGTGTGTGTATATATATATAGCATGCACATATTCATAATTGTAGGGCCACTAATGTTGACTTTTATTATACTTTACATGCTAATGCGAATCGAAGTTCAATTGATATCGCCGCTTGCCAGTACGAACGACTACACATCCACTGGTGAAACACTCTCATTAGCAACACTCATCCATCCCTTGCCATGCGAAGGTCTTGTTAATAATAGCAGATGACAATAGTTATTCAATATCCTGTGCGCGGTAAGTAGACGCCTGATTTTATATGGCCTGCCGTACACAATTTTCCGAATGCGTAAGTTATGTCATTTATAATACACGTGCGTGTTAGCTTAATGTCAGGTTGTCAAGAATAAACCAAGGCAAGGCACTCGTGCGAGAGACAGGATGTCCACTGAGGAGATGGAGCGATGGAATGGGATGGCGTGCAGGTGCTGGGTGCATGGCAGTGGGGAGGCCTTCATCCAGCAGTGGATCCACCCTGTCGATCTTGTTGACAACTGTCGGTGTCATTCTGTATGGTTCACAGCGGGTGCATGGCCGATTGTAGCTGCATCGTCACCGCTGATGTTAACCGTGGCCGGGAATCGAACTCATGTGTGTCCGGGTTCAAAGCGCAGTGCGTGTTCCACTGCTCAACCGCCCCGCACCTTGGCAGTGAATACCGGAGTGTGAGACGCTCCGGAAAGAAAGACGCACCCCCAAACCCGTGCCCGGTATCAGCAAAATTATACAAATCTGCTCACACACACAGACACAATAGCTTGCCGCATTATTAAGAGACGCACTCCCAACTTTAGCTTTCTCAAGATACACGGGAAATCAAAGTGCGCAATAAAGGCTAGAAAATACGGCAATCTTGCTTATCTTGCAAATCGCGCCGAGTCTCGCGCGCAACTTTAAAGAGTTGTTGTCATGCCGTGTGTGAACGAACACACGTGGCCGGCTACTCACACACTGCGTGCGTTAAGGCCCGTCAAAGGTAGAGTCTGAGATGTTTCTCGAATCATTCACCACGCAGGTGTGCACCACGGCTTGCAGTTGTACTAACAAACAAACACAATACATGACATGACATGCGTGCAAACGAAATTATATCGTGGGCCGTGATGATGGAGAATGTTGTGATGCGCGGTAAATATTTAAACTGCTATGAAAAGAGCATAGCTGTTACCCTTTCCATTTGGTGTTTGAACGTCTTAACGCCTTTTTTATTTCCATAATAAAGGGTAAAACCTATCCTTATTTTTGCATACTTTGATACTGGCAAAAATGCCCGTTGTGTGTTAAAACTGCTGTCAACACGGAGACACTTTCACGGGTACCGTCATTCGGTGATTATTATCCGCGAGGCAAGCAGACTCAGCAGCCTCCAAATGTTTGACACCGTCAAACGGGGGCTAATTCATAGCACGATGTGCTCTCATTTCGCTGGCCTATCATGCTGTTGTTGTTATCATATTGTAACATTATATAACATTCCAAGCGATCTTACGAAGCCATACAAAATCACGGCGAGAAGTGCACTATCTAACATTCACAAGGCACATTGGCCACACCACAATACTGCGAGGGGAGCTCGTTATTTTGTGGTGCATGCACGTGGCCGTCACTCCACACTTGATGTGTATATGTTGACGTGTATTCTAAATATATGTTATGTATATACACGCTCTTGTTATGCCATGGTGCTATACGTAAGATGGCGATCCTGCGTTGGCAATGGTGCACCACCGCGACCAACAATACATCACACACTCGTCGGTAACACTGCGGCCATAAAATAAACAAATAGTCAACGTTTCAGGCAATGACCCTTCCTTCTACACAGCGGTGATATCTGCCTGCTCAGAAAAAGGCAAGCGATATCTCTCCTGTGACGTGATATGTATAATAAGTGGTTGGCCACCGCCGGGTACTGTGAACGCGACTCAACAGCAGCACGACTGAGTGTGAAGTTGAAGGCGACGGCCACGTACAGCTCTTGCCATGGCCTCACATGTCACCCACTTTGTTTCTGTACCGTTTATGTAATTTCCTTTTTAAAGCACCGCTGAGTTCGTGGCGACTTCGTTGAGTTCGTGGCGAGTTCGTGCGTCGGTAGTCCGAGCGCACGCAATGCGCATCGACTGACTGCCCGAAGCGTTCACGCGGCACCGCTCGCCCGCGAATGAATCGCGAGGCGAGCGACGGGAGGAGAAGCGAAGGCGGCACAGTCGCTCTGGACTTGCGAAGCGATACGGGGGCGATCCATTTGTAGACACCCCACTAAAATTGCAGGTGACATCCTTTCGTTTTAAAGCTTCGTACACTTCTCCCAGCACCAATCTCAATGCTATACACGTATTGATCAATCTTTTGCACACTCTCTCCTCTCTGCCAAGGTTATTATCATTACCGAGCCTGGATCCCGGGTTTAGACTAAAGAGTATTTATTAATGGATGGGGTATCTATAAATGGATCGCCCTGTATTGTGCCACTGGATCCTATATACGGCTGTATCAGGTGAGCAGTGGAGGAGATGTCTGTACCATACAGGCAATCGCGTCCTACTACTGTTGTAGAGCATTGTATTACTTACTCTTTGGTTCTTTCGGTAAAGTGACGTAGGTATAAAATAAAACAAAATAAATTAAATCGCGACGTTTCGGGCGCAACACAAGCATCCTTCATCAGGTGGGACAACCACAGCAAGAAACAATAATAGCTGAAGTGGGCAAAAGGGCTGCTGTAACAAGAGGCTATCGAGATGATTGTATTACTTCACAGAAATAAGGGCGCCGTTGTTTATCTGTATATAGACCAATATGTGTGCAGTGTATTGTGTAACGAATGTAGTTAAATGATAGTATAGTGCACATATAAAACCATAACGACTCTAGTTTTGGGGCAGTGAAATTGAATAATAGTAAAGTACTCTATTAACATATTCTTGGTTCTTTCGGTAAAGTCACGTAAAAGGTAAATAATACAATAATAAAAATACAACTATTAAATTCTCACGACGTTTCGGCCACAACGCAAGCAGCCGTCCTCAGGTGAAAAACAGAGCTGTCGGAAAGACAGCGTCCTAATGAACACTGCTAAGCTTGGCAGCGTATTTTAGGCTGGGTGGGAGGAGGAGACGTTATTTGGATGTTCTAATCGGTGGGATTTCAAAATGTTTAAATATTAAAAGTTAAAACCACGGGTGGTTCGGAACAACGCGTTATCGCTAACTTTGGGGAGCGGTGGCACAGCGGTGAGGCCATTAGGAACCCGGTCACCGCAGTCGTCACATTTCCCACCCACGGCAAACATCAGTCGCGAGTGGCACGTGAACGAGCAATCGTTCCGCCGTTTCAAAATAAAGCGGCACTGACCGTGAGCGGGTGAAGTATGGCCGAACAAAAGTGTCAGTCCCCCCGCACGGTGTGGGGTGGGTGAGGCCTTCGCCCAGCGAATCGAGCGATGCGGGGCCGCGTTTTACAATCGCCGTCAACACGCGCGCCGACCGAGTTGCTGAGGCCGAGCTCGCTCTCAAGTTGCGTGGAACGCGCCACTCGGCAGCTCCGTGTGTGAGTCGCGCGCTCCGTTCGAACGTGGCCGACGGAGAGGGGACCGTGGCGCCTCGCTACGTCGTTACGACGTTACATCGTTACATCGTCACACGAGGCGGCAGGGAACGGGTCGCGTGACTTTGTTTAAAGGGGAAGGGAGGCAGGTGGAGGGATGCACAGCGCTAGGACGGGGGAGGGGGGGAATAGACGACAGTTGTGGCTTTAAAGAAACTTAAAACGAACTTTAAAGAAACTTTAAACGAACTTTAAACAAATACGAAAGGTTCCCCGGTAACGCGGAGATCCGCCGTTGTCTCTCGCGCTAAAGTCGCCTGCGTCTCCCACCCGCTGCTGCTGCCGCTGCCGCGTGTGCACGGATGGCGAGAGGCTGCGTCTCATCATCACCAGCCAGCCATGGCCACTCTACTGCTGGATGAAGGCCACTTCTCGAACTAATTCCCGTCGTTCCATCTCCGCGCGCTCTACGGACTCGCGGAATTCAAACAGGGGGGGAGGGGGCGGAGGGGGTGGGGGGCCACCCCCCTCCACTGCCCTCGCCCGGACGGGGCCGCGGCTCAGCGCAGGTGACAGCGCGGCACGCGCGACCTACCTGCGGGCACGGCGTAGGGGCACTTCGCGCACGACGAGGGCGGGAACGGAGGGCCGCAGCAGGCGTGCGGGGAAGCCGGCAACTCGCCGCTCAGCGGCCCGTAGAGGTAACCAAATCCTAGGGGGGCAGGCCCCCCACTGGAGCTGTAGCCTGGGGGCGAGCCCGCGGGCGCGCACGCGTAGAGCCCCCCGTAATCCAGCAGCTCCTTGCGAGGAGCCGCCGCCGCTGGTGCCTGCTGCTGTTGCTGTTGCTGGTGCTGCTGCTGCTGCTGGTGGTGGTGGTGCATCACGCGTTGAAAGCCCGAGGACGCAGGGAGAGACCCGGCTCCAGTCGTCATGACGCCGCCACCGCCGTGGCCGCTACCGCTGGGCTTGCGGGCCAGTATGCTGTCGATGCTGAACACATGCACGGACATCTCTGCTGCTGCTGCTGCTCCTGCTGCTGCTGCTGGAGCGCGACGAGACGTTTGTATTGTGGCTGTTGTCGTTGGGAATGTTTGTGGCGGAGTTTGTCGAGAGATGGAGGGGGTAGAGGCTGCGAGGCACTAGGAGGGCCCGTCACTCCACTCCACTCCGCCCGCGCTCCCGACTCGCGCCTCCTTCACTCGCTCTCCCAGGAGGGGCACGCGGCACGGCCTTCGTAGTCGTCGTCTTCTTCTTCAATGTGAAGGCAGCGGTGACGCCAGAGTTGGACTATGATGATGATAATAACATCATCATCGTGGTGCGCTCTAGGGAAGTTCTATATCGCAGGCTGGCCCAGCTGAGCTAAGCGAAGAGGAGCCGAGCGCTGTGAGCGCTGGAGGGAGTCGCGTGCGGGTGAAATAACGCGCAGGCTCCGTGCAGCATCGGGCAGCGGAGGCAGACGCGGTGGGGGGGAGGAGGGAGGGGGGGCAGCTGGAGGGAGGGGGGGCAGCGCTAACGCCGTCTCCGCGTCACGCACCGGGGCCCGCGCCGTGATGTAAAAACGTGAGCAAAGCGGATTGTCTCACACACACACTCACACACACTCACAGACAAAGATCCCCCTTGTAGCCTTAACAGACTGTCGGGGCAAGTGCTGTTAGCGAGTGGCACCTATGAAGGCCGGCAACGAGCACACGAGGGGGTGGGTGGGCAGCCCCACGCTAGGCCGCCTTTGTCTCCCCTGTGGCGATGTCTTTACGCACATCACCAGGTACTCATTTGAAGCTGAGTCGACCTAGGGGAGACCCAGGATCGGTTCAGATAATCGTCACTGATGTTGGTGGCCCACAAAGACACTTTCACACACAAGCTAACTCGCACACACACACTCACACACTATCACACACACGCTTACTCACACACACTCTCACACAAACATTCACACACACACTCACATACAACTCGCACACACTCACACACTCTCACATACACTCACACATACACTCGCACCGCACACACCCTTACACACACTCTCACACACTCACACTTACACAAACACTCTCACACACTCACACACACACTCAAACACACGCACACACTCTCACACACACTCTCATACACACTCTTACACACACTCACACTCTTACACACACACTCACACTCTTACACACACTCTCACACACACACCCACTCTCACACACACACACTCACACACACACTCTCACACACTCTCACACACACACTCACACACTCTCACACACACTCTCACACACATACTCACACACACTCTCACACACACACTCTCACACACACCCTCTCACACACACACTCTCACACACACACATTCTCACACAGACACTCTCACACACACACACTCTCACACTCTCACACACACACTCTCACACACACACACACACTCTCACACACACACACTCACATACACACACTCTCACACACACTCACACACACTCTCACACACACTCTCACACACACTCTCTCACACACTCACACACTCACACACTCACTCTCACACACTCACACACACTCTCACACACACACTCTCACACACACACTCACACACACACTCTCACACACACACTCTCACACACACACTCGCACGCACACTCTCACACACACTCACACACACACTCTCACACACACACTCTCACACACACACTCACACACACACTCTCACACACACACGCTCACACACACACACGCATTCGCTAAACCCCCCTGCAGAATCTCCCGAGCGCCAACAGAGAAAACAACTGCGAGGGCGGTGGGCTCCTCGTCCAGCGGCTGATCTGTGTATTGTGGACATAATGAAATTACGCTAATCCTTTCTATTAGCAGGAGCTTAGGTGGTCCTACACGTCTTCCTTAATCTCTGAGCTATCTGGTCAATTTACAACCAAATCCGACTCCATGCCCTATTGTTGTTGCGCGGACGCTTCTGCTGCCGAATCGAACGATTGCAAAGCCGATTTGATGAATAACGCGGCGATGATGATTCGCGGAGTTCCGTTACTGTCCGCGTGTTCGCGGCGCGGTGATCGCCGCCGCTTCAATCGTTTAACTATTCCCTCGGATTAGAAGACGCTCTGGAAAATAAGACGCTAGCCCCCCCCCCCCCCCCTAAATAAATGTTGTGCCCGGTGTCAATAAAGTCATGCAAATCTGGTCACACACACACACACACAGAGTGGATTATAAGACGCGCCTCTATGCTTAAAAGTACAGGAGGGGAGAGCGCGTCTTATAATCCGGGGAATACGTTCTTCATTTGTGGATAAAAGATCGTTACTGTGTAAGCGTTAAATCAGCGAGGGACACTCTGTGTGTGTCTCCAAAACAAATGTTGTGCTTATTGCGATTGTCACCTGGGAAGAGAGCGCGGTCGTATAAATAAATAGTAAAGACTGAATAAATAAATAGTAAAGACTGCACAGGCGACGGCGTAACACAAAGGGGACATCACGAAACACAATCTCCAGAGGGGGGGGAGGTACATGGGGGCAGATGGGGGGCCACAGCGGTGCCACGGCCCCGCGACTCCCGTGCTGATGAACAACCGATGACGGTGAGTATGATGGCGATGACGATGATGTCTGTATGCTATGCATACATACATCTAGCACATGGCTATGATGTTTGTATGCATACATACATCTAACACAAAGAAGACCCGCACGGCACACAAGGGGATGGTGGGTGGTCAGCACCACGCCCGATCGCCTTCGTCTTCCCAGGGCTGATGTTTACACACCGCACCAGATAATCATTTATGGCTGAGTCGACCTAGGGGAGGACACCTGGGCCGGTTAAAATATTCGCCACTGTTTGTTGGTTGTGGGCGGGAATCGAACTCGGGTCCACGGTTTCGTGGCAGCAGTCCTTTCAGCAATGCGCTAACCACTCCGCCACCACTCCGCCACCGGTATAGTGTGTACCGTGTATATATACACACATGCACACGTGGGTAGACGCAGCGGGAGCGGTGGCACGATGGTTCACGGACTGCCTCCATGAACCCGGCGACAAGTTCGACTGGAGGCGACGGCTAACATCACTTCACCAGCACCGACCCGCGTGGTGAAGTATGGTCAAATAACCCACGCGCCTTTGGTGCCTTCGTCCAGTAGTGGAGTGACAGGAACAAAGGAGGGGGGGGGGGGTGTGATTATTAAATAATTATTATTTAGTTAACGAATTCAATCCGATCTGCCCGGGGTTTAACAGGTGATTTTGCGCCCCGGATTATGCAGCCGGGTACGAACTGTGACTTGTTTTGTCCGGATCTCGTTAATTCACTGCGAGGCTGTTTGTGAGAAAGCTTTCTGTAATCCTGGCAATTATATCCCTGGCCAGGCCCATCCTGCGCATCGCAGCCGCATTATCTGCAGATTGGGGGTCCCGTCGCGCTCCTGTGTAAATCCGTCATAAGCAGCTTTAGACCTCCTCTCGTATCGACTCGGTGGGCTTCGGTCTTCCTCGCTATGGCAGCGTGCGTGCACATGCACGCGTGGGTGCCCGCGCGGTCAGAATCCTACGGCATGCGATGGACCACAGCGGGAATTCCCTTCTTATAAGGACACAAATTAACACCTTCGTGGTGGTGGTGATGGAGTAACGGCTCGCGCACTGCACTTAGCGGTGGCCGCGGTGCGATTTCCCGGCTCGGCAAGCTGACACGGTGGTGCACGTCTCTTAAATCCCCTCTCCGCAGCTGTCCGACCAGCGGTGTGAATGAATTGGCCACAGTTTAGTTGATCGGCAAATCGCGTGTGGTGGGGTAAAGTGTGGGCACTTCCACCTCTTCCGATAGACATTGGGCCAGGGTGAACCAAATTATCCAAGAGACCCCTTCTGCCAGCAGTGGCGTGAGCGAGCAATTGCAGGGCTGCACCTTTGCCTTTTAATAAAACAAAAACGATAATTTGTCAATCAGCTGCGTGATAAGGCCTCCCCATGCAATGTCAGTCGTGGGGGGTTATTTGACCATACTTCACCACTCTGGTCAGTGCGGGTCGGTGAAGGGAACGACAGCACCAGCATCAGGTCAGATGTCACTGTAGCCTTTGATGTTACCTGTGGCTGGACTCATGGCATCGGGCTCATAGCGCAGTGCGCCAACTCTTGCCCTATTATTTTTCGGAACTCAATTATGTATATACATACAATACCACAGGGCAAGGGACATGCAAGTTGCTGCGTGCTGTACCGTATCTATGTAAATACCTGCGTTGAGAGGGCACTTTTCAATTAGCATGCTTGGATAGGTGCGGTGCGAAAGAAGTTCAACATACATACATAACAACTTTGTGTAACAATGGGCAAAAGATATTCTTAAAAGAGCCGTTGCTCGCAATGGTATAAGTCATAAAATAAATACTGTTCTTACGATTCATAGAGACATATGTACAGCATAAGATTTACAGCAACAAATCCACAACAAACGAATGTAGGATACCTGCGTGAGTACATTCAATTGATATGAGGGAGCGGTGGTGCAGTGATTACCACACTGCGCTATAAACCCGGCGACCTAAATGTGATTCTCGACCGGGGTCGCCAACAACTCATCTCGTCTGCCTCTGTCTCCTCGTGCGATGCGCTTGGCACCGTGGGCGAGACGCGGGCTAAACGAAGCCACCGATTGTGTCCATGGGCGGAAACTGAATTCGTGACGCCGTTGACGCTGGCCACCGTTCCATCGGCACGGCAACGAGCAGCGTAGTGGGGCCTTACCTCTGTGGGGTCGGCCGCTTGCCGTGCGGCATTGACTCGAGCGAGCCTGACGCTCCTGCTGCAGCTGCTGACGAGACGCTGTGTGGCGACACCGGCCCAGAGGTGTTGCTCGTCTTGAATCATTGTTGTTGAAATCACGCACTCCGTGAAGGCCGTGTGGCCGATGGGTCGTGCCATAAACCGCCTTTATTCATTCTCGATGTGGAGAGACGGGTTACACGCGAACGATGAGGCATGCTGTCTGACTTTATACCTTATCGTGGTTTACGCATATATCAAGAAAAGTAGGCAAGTGTCGTTCACAGCGACCTATTTGGGAGGCCTAGGGGTTTAACGCAGCTCACTCGTGCGTTGCAGAAGCCATAGCCGACAAAGACGATCATCAGGGGCGACGATCTCCGGGTGAGGCTCACGGGGAATGCGTGAGCGGCTCGCGCACGGCGACTGCGGCCCCGCACGACACGCGGAGGGGTCGCGTTAGTCAGCACCACGCCCCGGCCGCCTTTGTCTCCCCAATGTTGACATAGCAACCTCGAGCTGCTCGTTTCATACAGGGGGATCGAACCGAGGTGGCTGGTGATGTCCGTGTGACCGGCGCACGAGGAGGTGGCGCCATTAGCGCCACGCCCCGAACGCTTTCATCTCCCCCAG